AATTGTATTTGTGCTGTTTTTTTCTGCCATGTTCCCCCCCTTTTTATTTTTATTTGTTCTCAACACATTTTATACTTTAATCTCAATTAGTATTAAGTTTTAGTCTTTAATGTTTTTCCTGCCCGAAACGCTTTGCGTAATAGTGGCTTTAGGCATTGTATGTATTAGCTCTATCTATAAATCTATAAATTTTTGTATAACCTCTTGTATGTATGTACTTTACCTGAATAAACATTTGGATGTTGAATTTGAATTAGTACTTAAGACATGCATCTTCATCAGTGTAATCATCCCTGTCAATTTATATTGTAGTTATCTCAAATTGTGCTACTAAGTACCTGTTTTCAGTAATACATCTGTACTACAGTACAACGTACTATTCATAGTCCCGATAGTACAGTGGGGGGGTTCATTATCTACTCATAATCGAGAATTCTGAACAGGACAGAAATGATTGGGCATGTTTCCTATCACCTAGTGCCCCTGTTCACCTAGCAGTAAGTAGGTACCCAGGAGTTAGTCAGCTTGTTGTAGAGATACATCCTGTTCGAGTTTAGTAATTCGACTCGGGGGATGGACCTCGATACAAGCCTAACGTGTATGAATACACTCTGGCTGCCTGTCTCCTGGCACAATGAATTATTCATCTGTTAGATTAAGGACCTGTACAAAATGCTATGCATGTTAGTGGCTTTGCAAGAATGAAAGAACAAGTTGGACAATCGACTTGAGAATGGTCCAGGACGGACCGAAACGTCGTCGTCTCTTAACCTTCTAGTGTGTGGTCTGGTCAACATGAAAGAACACCAATGTTATATACACTCAAAAACCCAATGTACCGTCTTGTATATAAATAAATAAAAGAAATAACAAATAAAAACCCTAAATAAAAGTGTAATTACCTAAGTGTGGTTACAGAATGAGAGCTATGCTCATGTGTCCCATCTTCCTAATAATATTTGTCATATGCTACTTCTAATTGATGTTCTCATAATTATTACCGATCTCATAATTATGAACATAATTGATGCTCAAGAACATCACTTGATGTTCTCATAATTATTAATTTTATTCTTAAGATTAAAAATATAATTTACTGGGCACTTCCTGTGAAAGGCAAGCATAAGAAAACATGCTAGAAGTTCCCCCATACATAAATGGCTAATTCAACATAAACTTCATGAGCAATGCTACCTGTTGGGTTGTTTGCAAGATTATAATTTGTAGAGCTTTGTAGTTGTAATGATGGTTGACACCATTACACAATTTTCAATAACAGAACGTCTGGTAGATGTTATGTACGTACATGGACTTTGCTAAGGTACCACATGAAAGAGACAAATTACAAGCACAGGTGATAAATGGTACGGTAAAATATTATATCAAAGTTTCTGAATGCCACAATCTCCCTAGTGGCATTGATGAGGCCAGAAAGCCAATGGCTTGTCAAAGGTCTCTCCATTATTCCTGAATATTTTATCTGGATTTGAAACATGTTTTGGCAGGTAGACTGTTCCATGTGTTTATAGCCCTATGGGTGAAAAAGTATCTCTTGTTTTCTGTTCTACATTGTGGCTTGTTAAACTTGTAGATGGTGCCCTTTATATTCATTACATTTCATCTTTAAAGCGCTTTAAAGATGTGGTTTGGATTAATAGAATTTAAATTGTTCAGTATTTTAAGGCTTGAGATCAGTTCTTTCATTTTTGGCTTGTAGTGTTGTTAGTCCATTGGCCTTCAACCATTTCTGGTACTGTACTTAGTTTTAGGGTTATGATTTTTGTCACTCGGTATTTAACTTTCTCCGAAGCTGATGTGTTCTTCATGCGTGAATGCAGTAGCAGAGACATTTGGCATGCCAATGGCTTTCTATCCTCATCATGACCATTATGAAGATGGTGACACTTGGATAAAGGCCCTTATGTCCAAGTACTTTCAAATTAATTTTTGTAGTAGTATGATAAACTTGTGACCACATGCTGGACAATTCTTATGTTAAATCACAAAAAGTAGCTTAGAATATTGAATAACCAAAAATTAATATACTGTATAGTGTATTTTTTTTTTTGCATGCTAGCATTACCCATGCCAGCCTTATTCTTTTGGTGATAAACTTTAATTTTAAGGCTTGCCCCTTACAATTGCACCTAGACAAGCAGGAATCTGGAAAATAGCATAGAATAATTATTATATTAATGTTTAAAAAGAAAATTAAGAATACATGTTCATTACATTACAAATTTAAATATGATGGCCTTCATGACATGTTATTGAATGATAAATTTAATGACTTTCCTTTTGTATGCTAATCTGAAGCCCCAAATGTTTGTGGGCAATTTAAATACAGCATTTTCTGTATCGTATATATAATCGGTAGATTAATGTAAATTTCAAGTTAATATTCTGTCTTGAGCTGGGACCACAATTCTTATGATATAATTTTAACAAGACACTCAAAAATTCTGTTTTTCTTTTTGGCTACCCTTGTACATATGGCTTCTGTGCAACACTAACCAATATCATTAGAAAGTTGTTTTATGTAGTTATGTTATATGTAAGTTGCAAGTGCTTCAATTTTTTAGAAGTCTTTATTATGAGGTATTAAACATGTTAAATAAAAAAAAAAGCAATTGGGACATATTGCCAAACTATGAACAAATCTTAATTTGTTTTATGATCATACATATTTTAAGCTTCATTATGATGCTTTCTCAAGGTATCACATGGAAAAAATTATTGCTAAATTTCAACAGCAGCCATGCCTTTTAGCTCAAACTTAACACAGTATTAAGTTAAAATCAATACACAGTTGCCAAGCAAAAACCTGGGATAAGGGAAGGGCACTATCAGGATAAAGTGCCAAACAATTGCAAACTATTTAGCACTTGGAAGGGATCAGGATAAGGATTTGGGGTGGGACAGGAGAAAGGAATGGTGCCCAAGCACTTGAGTGGTTAGGTATTGAACGCCAACCTGCATGAAGCGAGACTTGGTCTACTGTCCAGCCCAAATGGTTGGGGAACCTGGGACAAGAAAAAAATTAACATGACACAATCATACGAGTTCCCTCCCAGGAATGGCCAATTCAAGAGATTGCTCAAGCTCTAAAAGAAAAATATACTGTATTTGGATAAATAAAACAGCCTTTTACAGGGTTGTATATAAAATATGCATATTCAATATGGCATAAAATAGTTTGTTTGCCCGACAAAAATACAATATAAAACATAACAGTTTAATACACATATCAGTACAATCTATTAGTTGCACGTTAAAAGAATATGTTATTTTGTAAAAAATCAGTGCAGGAAATAATCTAACATGAAATCAGTAAAATTATTTAAGAGCCTTAGACAAATTTTTACTATATAAGAGCTCTCATTATTTGAAGACAAACCGACGTTTAAGGTACCTGTAGCTATTTTCAACACCTCAGATACTTCTATCGGAATGTATAACAGGCTTCAGAAAGATCGGTATATCAGAGATAGATAGATAGATAGATAGATAGATAGATAGATAGATATATATATATATATATATATATATATATATATATATATATATATATATATATATATATATTATTAAATATGACCGAAAAAGTAAGATTAATAATTCTAACACGAATTTTCTCAATCTTTCGTACATTACGCTTCACTGTTGGAGGTAAATCAAAAATCACTTCTCCAAAATTCATTTTTATTTCTAGTCTGACGCGACACGGGCGCGTTTCGTAAAACTTATTACATTTTCAAAGACTTCACAAATACACAACTGATTAGAACTTACGTATCTCTGCTATTATATCTACATTTGAGTGAGGTGGGAGGGATGATGTGGCATATAGTGACGTGGCATTAACACAAGACAGAACATGAGGGGATATTAATAGGGTATTAAAAGTATCAACACAAGACAGAACAGAAACAATGGGTATTGAATAGAAGTGTTTGTAGAAAGCCTATTGGTCCATATTTCTTGATGCTTCTATATTGGAGCGGAGTCTTGAGGTGGGTAGAATATAGTTGTGCAATAATTGGCTGTTGATTGCTGTTAACACCAGCAATCAACAGCCAATTATTGCACAACTATATTCTACCCACCTCAAGACTCCGCTCCAATATAGAAGCATCAAGAAATATGGACCAATAGGCTTTCTACAAACACTTCTATTCAATACCCATTGTTTCTGTTCTGTCTTGTGTTGATACTTTTAATACCCTATTAATATCCCCTCATGTTCTGTCTTGTGTTAATGCCACGTCACTATATGCCACATCATCCCTCCCACCTCACTCAAATGTAGATATAATAGCAGAGATACGTAAGTTCTAATCAGTTGTGTATTTGTGAAGTCTTTGAAAATGTAATAAGTTTTACGAAACGCGCCCGTGTCGCGTCAGACTAGAAATAAAAATGAATTTTGGAGAAGTGATTTTTTATTTACCTCCAACAGTGAAGCGTAATGTACGAAAGATTGAGAAAATTCGTGTTAGAATTATTAATCTTACTTTTTCGGTCATATTTAATAATATATGTCTACAGGAAAGACTGCTACCAAAATATACTAATATATATATATATATATATATTATTAAATATGATCTCATCCAAAAACTGAAAACTGTTGTAACATATCACCTCACCAAAATGCGGGTATAAAATGAAAAATGAAAGCTGTTTAAATCATAGCATAAGTAAGAACTCTGTTTAGTGTTTGCAGGTAATAGTTGTGCGTGTGTAAACTAAAAGTCTTTGAAAATGTAATAAGTTATTACGAAACGCGTTCAAGTGTCGCTTCAGACTAGAAATAAAAATGAATTTTGGAGAATTGATTTTTCAATTACCATCAACAGTGAAAAGAAACATAAGAAAGATCGAGAAAATTCGTGTTAGAATTATCAATCTTACTTTTTCGGTCATATTTAATAATATATGTCTACAGGAAAGACTGCTACCAAAATATACTAATTATATAATATATATATATATATAATATATATATATAATATATATATATATATATATATTATATATAAATTTATTTATTTAGGGGTACCACCACTGGTGTAATTAAAGGGACCCTCATCCTCGAAGATGAAAATAAAGTGTGTTCAGAGAAGACCTTGTAGATTCTCACTGAATACTTTAATCTTTTCCTCTCCTACCACCCCTATTATTTTTTGTATAAATCAATATATATATATATATATATATATATATATATATATATATATATATATATATATATATATATATATATATATATATATATATATATAAATCCTTACTATACACTCTTTAGAAGTGTTTATCCAAATGTGGATTAATATTCAACTCTGAGAAGAACTCATTACAAACGGGGCAGGGGAACAATTCTTCTGGACACGTCTCACTGGTGCTTCCCTCTGTTTCTCTCTCCCCCCTCTCTGTCTTTGAAGCACTGCAAGCACTACTCTGTGCAAATTGTTCAAGTTCATCATCCTCTGAAGTGAATACATTCTCTTTCTTCACATTTTGACTTAAATGTCTCTTCAAACTTGAATTATTTTTATTTCTGGCACTCCAACTGTCTTCATCATCAACCTTTCCAATGCATTCATCAAGGTGTTGATTAATCTTCCATTTGGAGAAAGATTTGTTACATACAGGACATTTATTGAGATCATCTGAACTATAGTCTGACTGGTTAGATGCAGAGGAACTACCAAGAGGTTTGTTGAAACTTGAAGGTGTTTTATCTCCTTGAATAAAACGATTTCTCTTTGCAGGTGATCTTGAGATCCAAGGATTCTGTCTATGATTTTGAGCTTTCTCAAGACTGGAAGTTTCTTCTGTGTCTGAAAGAATTTCAGTTTCAGTTGGAGAAATAGAAGCAGAAGTAAAGGTGGAATGATCTGATGAGCTAGTGAGGGACAAAAGCCTGGATATGCCAGTGCTCGGCCCTCCAAGGCTGAAGCCTTGTCCCTGGAATACAGTTGGCACTGATGTGGCACTTTCCATTTTATGTCCATCATTTACCTGGGTTTCTGTTTTCACTGGCAGCTTTCCCTTCACTGTAATTGTTCTTGAACCACCGCCTCGCACAGCAAGAGCACTTCCAAAACCACCATTGGGTTTCCCCACAGCCTTTGCAGATGCGTTTCCCATGTTAGACTGTTTTGGTGCATTACGGGGCTTCTTTTTGGCTGGAGATGTTCCGCCAAATCCATACACCTTTGATTTACTAGCATTGTCAACACTAACCTGCTTCACTGGTCCTGAGCTTGTACTTCCTAGACCGTGTATATTTTTGGGTTTTGCACCGCCACTGCTAAATGAATCTCCACTTCCTTTGTCACTGGATTTGTTTTTTACACCAAAGACTGGCATGTTTTCTTTTAAAACAGTGTTTCTCTCATTAACACTTTTCACACCCATTTCCTTTTTGCTGGAAGGAGCTGGCTTGGAAATACATGATGATTCTGGGGCATCACTATTAAGGGTATTTCCTTTCCCTTTGAATTCAATAAATTTTCTAATGTCACCACAGTTATCAGGTTTCTTTTTTGAATCTGGAAAAAAATTAAAATGGACTTAAATAAATTAAATTATGGACATACATGCTGTATAGTAACATTGAATACGGTAATGTATTCAACCTGCATCAGTTTTTAATGCAGATTGTCTTATTCTCTCTAACAGTAAGACTTAGTCTTATTCAATAAGACTCTAACAATTATGCTTATAATATTCTTGGTTTTTCAATATGAAGTACAGTAATACAAATTTTAATCAGTATTTGTTTTTTAATAGTACTGTACTTAAAATGCAGCTCCTGAAAAATATCAATCAGCCAACTGAGGGGGGTATTGCCGACTCTTATGCTAGGCACATCCTTGCACCCTTCAGCTTGTACTGTACTGGTAGCTGGATATTTTTATGAAGAAGTACCACTTGTGGTACTTCGCTATGCGTCCTAGTCGAAACGCTATGCGCACTAGTGGCTTTATTTATTGTATGTACTAGCTCTATCTTTAAATCCAACATTATGTTTGTAACTCATGTTCAACGTTTTTAGATTACTAAAACTAAATTTTTAGATTACCCCACTAGATTTTGAAGAAGCCATAAACAGTATGCCTATGCACTCTGCACCAGGCCCGGATTCTTGGAACTCCATATTCATCAAGAACTGTAAAAAACCACTATCGCAGGCCCTTCACATTCTGTGGAGACAAAGCCTAGATACTGGCGTTATCCCTGACATACTAAAAACAGCAGAGATAGCACCACTCCATAAAGGAGGAAATAAGGCAGAGGCAAAAAATTACAGACCGATAGCACTAACATCGCACATCATAAAAATTTTTGAGAGAGTGCTAAGAAGTAAGATCACAAAATACATGGAATCACAGCATCTCCATAACCCCGGACAACATGGTTTCAGAACAGGGTGCTCTTGCCTGTTGCAGTTGCTGGACCACTATGATATGGTATTAGATGCTATGGAAGACAAACAAAACACTGATGTAATTTACACAGATTTCGCAAAAGCTTTTGATAAATGTGACCATGGTGTTACTGTATTGCACATAAAATGCGTTCAAAAGGAATTACCGGGAAAATTGGCAGATGGATCTACAATTTCCTGACTAACAGAACCCAATGTGTAATAGTCAACAAAATAAAATCCAGCCCATCAACCGTGAAGAGCTCAGTCCCCCAGGGTACTGTGCTTGCTCCAGTACTCTTTCTCATCCTCATATCGGACATAGACCAGAACACAACCTATAGCACTGTATCATCCTTTGCAGATGACACTAGGATTTTCATGAGAGTTGGCAACATAGAGGACACGGCAAACCTCCAATCAGATGTAGATCAGGTCTTTCTATGGGCTACAGAAAATAATATGGTGTTTAACGAAGATAAATTCCAGCTCATGCGCTACGGAAAAATTGAAAATATAAAAACAGAAACCACGTACAAAACTCAGGCAAACCATAACATAGAACGAAAAGGCAATGTAAAGGATCTGGGTGTACTCATGTCGGAAGACCTTACCTTTAAAGAACACAATAAAGTAGCCGTCACAACTGCAAGAAAAATGACAGGTTGGATAACAAGAACTTTTCACACTAGAGATGCTATACCGATGATGATACTTTTCAAAACGCTTGTGCTCTCTAGAGTGGAGTACTGCTGCACAATGACAGCCCCTTTCAAAGCTGGAGAAATTGCTGACCTGGAGAGCGTGCAGAGATCCTTTACTGCTAGAATCCACTCAGTAAAACATCTAAATTACTGGGACCGACTAAAGAGCCTAAATCTGCACTCCCTTGAGCGCAGGCGGGAGAGATACATAATAATTTACACGTGGAAAATATTAGAGGGGCTGGTCCCAAACCTGCACACAGAAATAACATCACATGAGACCAGAAGACATGGCAGGATGTGCAGAATACCCCCGTTGAAAAGCAGAGGTGCAACAGGTACTCTGAGAGAGAACTCTATCAACATCAGAGGCCCGAGACTGTTCAACATGCTTCCACTACACATAAGGGGCATAACTGGCCGACCCCTCAGTGTTCAAGAGAGAACTGGATAAGCACCTCCAAAGGATACCTGATCAACCAGGCTGTGACTCATATGTCAGGCTGCGAGCAGCCGCGTCTAACAGCCTGGTTGATCAGTCCAGCAACCAGGCGGCCTGGTCGACGACCGGGCCGCGGGGACACTAAGCCCCGGAAGCACCTGAAGGTAAGGTAACGTATGTACCTTTACCTGAATACAAAATCTAATCTAATCTAATTACATACTGACAAAATGCATAGAAATACAACTAGAAAAGCAGGATAATGTACATCTTACAACTACTAAAAATAGTGTTACAACAACAATTGCTGCTACTAATAGAAGCGGGACATTACGATATTGCAACAAAAGCAAAAATCCAACCTAAGTCTCAGATCATGTGATCAGATTACTAGGACAGGAAGCAGCACCTCTTGAAGAATGACAAGAAAATGTGTGAAACACTCAATAAGAAGTTCCAATAGGTGTACAAACCAAAACCCTGCCTGGTGTCCAAGGAGAGGTGACAACAGATGGCCAGAAACAGCACTAGAAAGAACCAAAGTTACTGTAGAAGAGGTAAAAATATATCTAGAGGAATTAGATGTAGCAAAACCAGTAGGACCAGATCAGATATCAATGCGGATATTGAAGGTGCAGGAAGCTGCAGGATTCTGTGTTACACACTAACTAGAGCTTTTGGAATAATACTATACAGAAGACAAGAAAAACACAGGGACTCACCAGGTAGGAGGAGGAGGAACTACTGTACAGGCAGTCAACATAAATGTGAGAGACATGGCCCAGTGCACTGCAACATAAAGGCAGTGAGGCCTGGTAATATTAACAAAGTACTGGGGCAGCAACAAACAGGTATTTGGGTTCAAACACCAGAACCACCATACCTGAATATCAATGCAGGACATACAGTACTGTATTGACAAAAAAGCTACAAGAGTGGAGTACTTACGAACGTTATGGGCACAAGGGTTGACCGATGGCTGGCTATACTTGATATTGCAGACATCCTGATAAACATTAGCCTTGAAGCAGGGAACCAAGAATTCAGGATTGACCCACAAAGTATCCACCAAGACAAAATTGGTGGCACAAAGGTAGTGGTGGAAAGCCACTACTGGATACAGCAAATAATGCACCCACAACTATACCAACCAAGCATCAATAACCAAAAGACCCTTCTGGAATCTGACCTAGTGATTCTTTGCCTGAAGATGAGCCGCCAGCAGATAAAGCAAATGCCAACCATGCCGAAAAGGATAAAATCCAAACTTCCAGAGAAGAGCATGAAGCTCCCCAACCCTACAACCAGAATCCACGACCAACAAAAACAGAGTTTAAGAACAAGAAACCCAGGCCAAAGGGGACACCATAAACCAAGAAGAAGAAAGGCGAGAACAAAGTGGGCTCAAATGGTGCATGAGCAGGCTGGAGGTGAAACAATGCATGAGAAAGCTTAAGGACAATCCTGGGGCCCTGCTGCAGATGTCTGTAAGGCATTGCATCAGTAGAAGAACTGAGGGCTTGAACCAGTGGTCAGCATGAGCCCCCCCCCCCCATCAAACAAGTGTAATGGGTGCGGAAAACAAGCACACGCTTATTTTGAGAAAATTTCTAGTGTCTGTTTATATTGTTGGGCGAGTTCGTTCAGCAGGTTGTGAGGCTTCAGTCTCTTTGAACCCAGCATTGATCTGTACTGGCTCACTGACATTCTAGGTACCTTCCCTAGTGAGGTGGAGGAGTGTCACCTGCTCTCTGCATCTATACAATGGAGCCAGGTTCTGGCTCTGGTCCCCAGTAGGCCAAACTAAACTCCACAGCTGATGCACTCCAATAATTAGGGGCCATCTCGGCAAGATGGCTTCAAGGAGTCACAAAGGGCTACCCCCAGAAAAGATTAATGTACAAGATGAATAGACAAGAATGAATAATAGGAAAGACACTGAACTGGGTGAACTGGGCACTTGAAGGACAGGAAACAAAGGGTCGTAGTCCAAGTGTATATGTCAGACTGAAGAAGAGTGGAAAATAGGGTTTCTAAGACACTGTACGAGAACTGTTGCCCCTTCTAAATTATGTAAATAACCAACCAAAGGGAGTGAGTTCATTCAAATCATGGGAAGAAAGAAAAGAGAACACCCAGTCCAAGGACAAGGATGGCTCAGGTGACGCATGAGCAGGCCAGAGTTGGAAAAAGGTACGAGAAAGCTTACGAAATGGTGCCGAAGTGACATCCACCCCTGAAACGCAAGCTGGAGCAGCTCAGCCGCACGATACGAGGCGGCAGTATTCGGCATAAGATGCCTGTCCTGAAAGAGCCAAGAAAGAAAAGTCAACACAACATGATCCGAGACCGAAGACAACGTACACAGGGAAAGGAAATGGCAAAAAGACCGCCAAGAAACTTCATAGAGCCGAAAGAGAAGACCGTAGGTGGGGCACCATTAGAGAAGCCCTCTAGTATCTGGTTACCATACAGATCAGGCAACCGGGAAGGAGGGGTGGGGGGTTGTGTCTGCACGAATGAGCGGAGCGTGGTATGATGACATGTTGCTTGCTAACTTCTTTTCTTTAGGGGAGTTTCTAGCCTCTGTTCAGTCTCATGTTGCAATTTTTCTACCAGGAGGGGTCTGTTTTGGATTGCCTAACTTTATGGGTGTTCAACCCCAGTCGATGGCAGACAAGATTACTTCAAGAGTTTCATAGGCAATTGCTACCTGCGCCTCTCTGATGGGACCATGTTCTGGCTAGTGGGGTTCCCAATAGGCATGACATCCCTCCATATGACTGAAGCCCCATACTAACATTAGACATTATCAATCCAATAGCTCCAGGGAACTGATGGGGCTCCCCCACAGAAAAAAGACCTGCAGGATACTGTTTGCTACTTCCCTTTACCCTGGCATTTACTCTCACACTGTGACTATTGCCTATCTGTCACCCATCCACTAGGTGGTGAAGGAGAAGCAGAAGTGGATAGCTAAGCAGATGGTGGGCTATAAATAATTTTAAATAGTAATAATAATATTTGTATATGGTACTGTTCAATAAAAAGTAATGATCATTAACCCTTCAATTGCGCATCGCATCATATGATGCTTTGACCGACTTGCAGTAAATTGCGCATCGCATCATATGATGCTTTGGAGTACTATGCAAGATTTAAACGGCCCGCGGATACACGGGGTTCACCACACCTTCATCAGGGATCTTGTAAACAGACGCCATTTTAAAAAAAAATCGTGGGCCAAACTCCCGGGTGTTAGGGGCCTCAGTATTGAGTCAGCTACCAAGCCTGACACACGCAGCATGAACTCACAGCACTGCTGTTCAGCTTGTGACCACAGCATCACCTAAAAATGCCATAATATACTTGTTCATGCTATTATGTAGCGATGATATTATTACAGAAGACCCCTGACTGTGATAAAACTGACCAGGGTTCTGATAATAGCAGGATTGTGGTGATATTTGGTGCTGTGCGCCATGGAGGGAGTAGTAATGCTGTGGGAGGGAGGATGGTGGCGTTGTCTTTTGAGTGTGTGTGGCCACCTTTTATTGACTGCACTCACCATACCAGCTTAGTGGTTCGCTATGGTGAACACAAATGTAGATACTTATGTATAACGTGTGTATAGTGTGAGATAACAGCGAGAGTAGGAGGTTGGGAGCCGCCATTTTGGTGAGGGAGGAGCGTCGTCTGCAGGACTTACCATGTTTATTGATGACCACCATGGTCTTTGGGCACCATACCAGCTTACTTGTACAAGTATGGTGAATAAAACAGGTAGATATTTATATATAATGTGTGTATATAGCATTATAACACCAAAAACAGTATTGTTGTAGGAGAAATATTAGTGCGTCTGGCCTTGAGGGCGGCCGCCACCAGCTGACTGTGTGAGTAGCTACGTCTTTATGCCTTTACTCACCATACAAGCTTAGATGTACAGTTATGGTGAACAAAACATGTAAATACTTATATATAACGTCTGTATATAAAAGCAAAAACAGTATGGTGGGTGGAGAATGGTGGCAAGTCAGGTGAGGTGAGGTGAGGGAGGGAGTGGCAGCCAGTCACTGCCTGCCACTGCCACTCAGCATACCAACTTAGTGGTTCGTCATGGTAAACAAAACATGCAGATACTTATATATAACCTGTGTATATAGTGTAATAACCGACAAAGTATTTGTTCACTGTTTGATGAACATAATTGAATCAACAATATGCACACCATATTTTTGAGTACAGCGATGATTCACTCATTTTATTATATAAATATATCACACTACACACTATTGAATAATATTACAGCAAAAAAACTACGAAAAATCAATCAGAGACATTGAAATAATTAGGTAATTATCTCTTTGTGGAAACTCTGGCCTGACAGCTGGCGATCAACAGACCGCCTGTGACGCACGCTCAGTCAGCGCCTGATTTTGCCAGAATTCCCCGCCCTATAGTGGGCAATATATGCCACTTACTATTTGTTTATTATTTTTCCCGTAATCAGTGAACACAAATTAACAGGTTAGGAGGAAAAAATAATTTTTTTTTTTTTTTTTTTTTTTTTTTTTTTTTTTTTTTGGTATGCGCCTGTGGGTGTCAAATGGTATATAGCTATGCGCCATTTAAGGGTTAACTGGGGGGAAGTAGCTCTCGACTTGCCTCTAAAATACAGTAGTTTATAACATGGGTAACCTCAGTTTTGTATGCTTTATTTTAATGCAATGAGGCTCTCGGTATATTGGATAGAAAAAAGTTAGTACTGTATTAGTACTAAGTTGTTCAGTATCAATAGCAGCAATACTTCTTTGGACCTTAAAATTAGTACAATTAACCATTTCTGAAATATTAACAAACCTCAAGGAAGAAAAAACTATGTAATGCCACATGTCACTACTGAGGATATATAATACTATATAGCTAAATAAATTAATAATTATGAAATGATCGAAAAGTTTTCTTCATTCACCTGCTGCGAGAGACTTTTTATTCTTATCAGAATATCCTTCAGGTTCCTGAATTTTTGTGTAAACTCCACCACATGACTGACGGTGGCGTTCCCACCAGGGATCACGTGGCCCAGGTTCTCGGTTCATGGCTCGCTTTACCAAGCCAAAGTAGGGCCGCCTTGTTTTGCAGGGTCCATTGCACTGCCAAATGTGTTGCCGATACACGTCTACTTCATCATGGAAAGAGTGAAAAACCTGAAAAAACCAGCATTCAATGTAATGAAATGCCAATTTCTGGGTGAGCCCTGGAGGCTTCCCGAACCTATCATACACTGATCAGTGCCATACTATCAGGTATTATCAGTCGCAGGAGTTCATATTGGCCTTCTGAGGACCCAGAGCCAGAACCTGGTTCCCTCAAAGATGTGTGGGGTGTGATGGCCTATGAAGACTTTACATTTAAAGTTTAACATAATTGCCACCACCAGGAAATCACCCAGAAAGGTAGGCTAACCAAAACAAAACATTACAAGAAGAGAAGTTTAAGGTTTAAAAAGAGAGAGACCTTAGCTTCAAAATCACAAAAAAAGAACTTCCCCCACCAAAAATTGAACCACCAAATTCTTTAAACTAGTGTTGGCTAGTTCACCCCACCTCCCCCCTTCCACATTGGGAGGGGGGGGGGGGGGAGCGCTTCGGGTCAACCGGCTCACGCACACACCTCAGTTCGCAGATAATGAACACACCTGACACAGTCACCCTGGGGGCAGGGAGGGTGTCAGGGAGCCTCCGGGGCTAGCCCAGAAATTGAAATTTCATATCATTCAAAAAAGGTTTTCTGTGGAAAGCCCCGTCCGCTCCATGAAGCTAACTACCCACAGAGGAGGAAAAAAGGGTACAAACCAGGGAGGAGGCAGCACCGTAGGAACCAATCCAAAGAATGGGATAGGCAGCCATGACACATGCCCCAAGCAACACAAGTCTGCCAAGAAACCAGGCCGCAAAGACCCCATTCGCCCACCAAAACCCTCGTGGCCGAAGATTGACTCCAAACATGGGCGAAAACAGCCATCAAGAGCAGCATACACACACGGTCAGTACGAGAACAAGGGCAGATCGCAAGCTGGCTAGACTGAATGACACTTGCAGACAACCTGACACATGAGCCCTTACCCTGTCCATGGAGGACAGAAGAAAATGCATATATGTTGGTCTGTAATAGAAAATATATATATATAAAAAAAAACTGAAGTAGAACCATGGGCATGAAGGTTGCAACGTAAAGCTGCCAACAGACAAAGTGGGCTAAAAACCTTCAGTCGAACCAAACAAGCGACCACAACAAATGGAACCCTTTGGAAGTCAGTCAACACATTCTTCGCCAGAAAAGGAGGAGGCGGATGCAACCGAACAAAACACCCACCAGGGCCAAGTAACAAAGCCCCTCTGATGAAGAAGAGCATGAAGCACACCCATCCATCCGACAACAGGAGGCCAAAGAAGCAAGAGCCACCAAAAGCAATCCAAGACTAAAAGGGCCACTAGAAAATGAGCAGGAGAGAGAAAAGAAGGAACCTGGTCAGAAACCAGGCAGGCTCCAGCAGTGCATGAGCAAGTCAGCGGTGAAACACAGCATAAGAAGCATATGAAATGGGACCAAGGACTCTGCAACCCCAAATGTAAACAGGGGCAGCTACGCCAAAGTTGCACAAGAAGAGGTGACAGCATTCAGCAAAAGACGTTGAGCAAGAAACAGCCAGAAAAAAAAAGGACAAAAAACCCGCTGGAACAGAACAACAATGACGAAGGAAAATAAAAAGGTGAAAAGACTACCAAGAGTCCATACTGTTGCCAGAAGAACTGCAGGTGGGACACCTTTAACAAGCCACCTAATTACCACAGAGAGAGTGATCCACATGTGAAGAGTGGAAGAAAAAAGGCCAAATCAGCGAGGACACCCCTCACCTGGCCCTCAAAAGCAGGCAGGGCCACAAGAAAATGCCCAAGGTCAGACATTGAGCAAGCAGTCCCAAAATGCCAGGTCAGACATCAAGGAGCCAGAGGAATACACACTCCCTCGAGACCCCAGCTGCACCAGCCCTCCGCCCCCCTCCTGGACGCAACGAAAGTGGAGAAGCAAATTCCGAGAACTCAGTAGACTAGCCCGAAGCAACCTGCCCAAAGAGACATGGACCAAGTCCAAATAGATCTGGAACACTGAGCCCAGAGAAATCCAAATTCACTGCAAACTGAAAAACTCAACTGTCCCTGCACCCGCATTGGTAGGGGCTAACCTTGGAGTTGCCCAAGCCACATATCAAGCTAAACCCTGGCCTGAAACTGAAGCCCTCATATGTCTCGGAGCCAGAAGCAGAGGGGAAAGAAGGGCGAAAGCCGACCCACCTGGGAAGGAAGAGGTGGTGCGTTCACCTCCTCCCTTCCAGGTGGGAAAGCCCCAACTCAACCAAGGTCGAGGGGACCCCCAAATCCCAAACCCCTAACACTAAGTGGGGGAAAGACATGGGGCATCCAACTGGGAATACAACCAAGACCACTGCAAAGAGTTAGCCAGGAATACAAAGCAGTCGCTGCCTAAAAACTCCGATCTGCACAGAGAAGGAAGGAAGGATAGAGCACATGAGGAGAGTAAGTCCCACGTGACTTAGAATCTCAGGTGTCACCAACCCAACAGGCAGTATGGTGGAGGCAGAAGGAAGGAACATCAACAGGTGGCACAGGCGATGAACAACCCTCAAAATCGCACAAGGCGAGATCAAACTTGGAGGAGGTAACCATAGTACAACCGAGCCCATTGGGGATTTCCAAGGCCTACAGGGTATGCACCCTGCAGGAAGCTCAGGCACTCGGAATGCTATACCAGTAGAACCCCCTGCAGAGAGCAGGCAACCTAGCCACCCGAACCCAATGGAAAAGCCACAGGGGCAACATCGGGGTTCAAACGTACATGCCCTAGGAGGATCTAATAAGATGAAAGCAGAACCCCCATGCAGAAAAGGGGGCAAAATGAAAAACATTGAACACAAAAATTAAACACAAAGCTCCAGCCCTCGAGACCTAGCCGCAGAAAATGGGTAACTAGGAAGAAATATAGGCGTGTCTATATGCTAATAGAATAACTGGTCGTGCAAGCCCAGTGTGCCCCACCAGCCAAAAACACTCCCAACCCCACGGAAGACAGACAGTCACTGACCATGAGCATGGGCCACCTCAAAAAAGGTGGTCCTCTAAAGAGAGCGTACCACAAATGCCCTAGGAAAAGTAACCCTGACTATGCAAGGGCAGTACTCCAAGATCGCACAGGGATGAGAACTCTGTGCACATGCAGCTCTAAGTGCACTAAACTTATATCTGGTCATGTAACACAACTAGGTATAAACTGGCTGAGAGCAGGGTTGCCAGAACCAAATGCTATGCCTGTAATGTTGTGTATTCACCTAGTTGTGCTTGCAGGGGTTGAGTTCTGCTCTCTCGGCCCGCCTCTCGACTGTCAATCAATCAACTGTTACTAACTAACTTTTTGTTTTTCTTTTCACATACACACACACCCCAGGAAGCAGCCCATAACAGCTGTCTAACTCCCAGGTACCTATTTTACTGCTAAGTGACAGGGGCATCAGGGTGAAAGAAGCTCTGCCCATTTGTCTCTACCGGTGCTGGGAATCAAACCTGGGCCACAGGATTACGAGTCCTGCGTGGCAAGAAGAGAAGCACACCAATGTTATGGACACCCAGAAAACCAACATACTTCCTGTATAGAAAGGAACGAAATAAAGAAATAAGAAAAGAACCGAAGCGGCGATCGTAAAGAGCTGGCAACACAATTGGGTGCCTAAGGAGCCCAAACAGCTACAAAGACCCGATAGCAAATGAAAACAGCTGGAATGCAGTCAGGCTCCACAAAACCCAAGAGAGCTACAGAATCCAACCAGGCAACCCTGTCTCAAAAGGCCTTAAGCAGATGAAAACGACTGGAGCCAGAGCGGCCGATGTTTACACCCAGGCACGAATCAGCAAGAACTGAAGTGCGAGTGAGCCAGTTGACCCGGTGCGCCTCCCTCCTCCGCCGAAATGTTGGGGAGGGGGCTGAACTAGCTGATGCTAGTTTCAAGACAATTTGATAGTTTAATTTTTGTTGGGAGGGTTCTTTTGGTGATTTTGAGGCCGAGGTCTCTTCTTAAACCATGCAGTGATTTGTTTTAGTTCACCTGCCTTTCTGGGTGCTTTCCTGGTGGAGCCAATTATGTTAAACTTTAAATGTAAAGTTTTCATAGACCATCACTCCCTGTGCCTCTTCGAGGGGACCAGGTTCTGGCTCTGGGTCCTCGGTAGGCCTATAAGAACTCCTACGACTAATGGCACCTGATAGCATGGCTCTGATCAGTGTATGATAGGTTCAGGGAGCCGACAGGGCTTCCCCCAGAAATGACAATCCAATGCATGGACAGTATGTAATTTTTTTAAGCAACACTTTCTGAGGAGTTATACATTTCTACTAGCAACATAAATTTAATCTGAAACAGCATGACCAGTGATCAGCTCCAAACTGCCATATCTTAATCACATGTTCCATTACTATAATCCTTCAGACTTATTTTCACCTTCCTTTCCCACTCTCTCAGTATCTATAGGGATTACGATTATTGTACACATTTTTGCACAAACAACTTTGCTTTGACTGCAGGCAGCAACAAGATCCAGTAAACTAACCGAAATTTTGGTTCCTGCTACACCATTAATTCGATACATGTGTTTATGAAACTCAGGACCATGGCCTTCACGGTCCCTATTGTTGGCAGTCACAAAGAGATAAGCATGGATCATCTCGTGCTGTGGAGAGAGAGGAAAGGATCAGTAAGATGCCTCAAGTACAGTTAGAAACAAAATAAATCAAACAAAATATAGACTTGTCTATCTCTCTCTGAGTAATATGTTCCATCACCAAGTTAGCTGACTGCCCTTCTAGTTCAGTATGTAACTGTGACAGAAGTATTGAGTTGTGCGTCACGGCCCTTGTGGATTTGTTCAAGCACTGACTGAAGAGGTAGACCATCATCAGAGTTAGTTAATATCGCTGTTCTCTTTACAAGGTGGTAATAACATTTTGTATCAAACTCTGTACTGTATTCTGAACAAGCTCTGCACTAAGTATATCTTTAGATAATTAATAATCAATTATGAAATTTAGCAAATAAAGCAAAATTTTATTACTGTAAATTGATATACTATATCATTTGCTTTAAATAACTTGCAATTCATATATTCAAGAAGATTTCTTAAGAAATATAACAGCAGTATTTTTAATAAAAATGTAAGTGGTCAAAAAGGGAACTTTAAAATATAACAGACATGTTATACCAGTAGAGTTTCAATGAGATCTTTGCGAGGGCGGAGCTTCAGTAATGGCACAGACAAACGGACAGAACACAGTCCCCCACGACCTTCATAGCTGCACACTCCAGCACACCTGGAACGATGCAATGACTTATCTTAAATCCAGGCTCAGGACCTTAGAATGAGTTACAAATGTTTCATTTTTATATATAAGAATATACTGTACGTGTGTGTATTAATTTGTTCAGCTTTACAAAATTCAACAGCACTTGCAAAACTCGGATAATGTTGTTTGGATTTGGATTTTGGAAAAAGGTATGTTTTTATTTTCTAACCAAATACTGTATTTGGAAATTTTCTTATTTTAAATAATGCAACTAATATTTTTGCATATAACACAGTACAGTACAGTAATACAAATAAGATAAAACTATTTTTGAACTTGTCTAATCAATCTTGTGGCTAACAACAATAATGTACTAATTAGCTACCTGTTCTTCCTGTTTACCAGTTCTTGGTTCCGGGAATCTGTCTCCACGACCGGGTCTCTAACCAGGGCCTCCTAGTTGGTGGTCTGACCAACCAGGTTGCTTGACAGTGCTGCTCACACCTTGACATATGAATCACCGCCTAATTGATCAGGCATCCTTTGGAAACGTTTATCAAGGTCTCTTTTTGAAGCCTTTTGAGAGGTCAGCTAGTTATGCCCCCTATGTTTAGAGAAAGTGTGTTGAAAAAACTTGGGCCCCTTGATATTAACAGAATTTTCTCTTAGCACAGCTACTGTACCTCTGCTTTTCAATGGGGCTATTTGGTCTGATAAGGAGTTATTTCCATGTGCAGATTTGGAACCAATTCCTCTAATATTTTCCAGGTGTAAATTATTATATCTCTCTTGACTGCACACTACAGAATTTAGAATTTTTAAATGTTTTATTGGATGTAAAACTAAAGTCTTCCGACATGATCATTTCCAAATCTTTTATAATGCCCCTCCTTTCCACTGTGTGGCCTAACTGCATTCCATGTGGCTCCTGCTGACATCTTTACCTTTACCAGGAGCTGGAACTTGTTTTTGCCAAACATCGTGCTGCTCTTTGTGGCCCATTGGAAGACACGATCTACATCAGTTTGGAGGCCTGCTGTACTCACCTATTTGTGCTTGCGGGGGTTGAGCTTTGGCTCTTTGGTCCCGCCTCTCAACTGTCAATCGGTGTACAGATACCCGAGCCTACTGGGCTCTATCATATCTACATTTGAAACTGTGTATGGAGTCAGCCTCCAGCCTGCTGTGTTACCCCCACATTGTTCATGCTCGTAAAAACTCTCATAAAAATCCCAATGTCATCTGCCTAGGATGACAGTACTACAGATTGCATCCACATCCATATCAGATGAGAATGAGAAGAATACTGGAGCAAGCAGAGCACCCTGGGAGACTGAGCCCTTCACAGCAATGGTTCACATACTGTATTACTTTGCTGACCATCACTCTTTGTGTTCCGCTTGTTAGGAAATCAAAGCTCCACCCTCTCACTACACCAATAATCCCCAGCAAAATATGCCCTTGATAATTTTAATATCAATAATTTGAAACATGTAACTTATTCTCAAGAGCTCTATTTGTGGCTTCCTAAAAAACAAAAAACAAAACAAAAAAAACCAGGAAAATGTAAACATTGTGATAGAACCGAAAACTAAACTATTACTTACAGGGTCATCCTTGGACTCCATTTGACCTCCACCCCTAACAATCGTCCCCAGAAGAACTGGTCATTAAATGTGAGGAAAAGCATGTGAATATCTGGGTTTGGATCAATCATCTCCCATGATGGATCAATGAGAGATACAGACAACTTTTCTTGTGGGGATTCATCTAGTATTCCACCAGTTTTCCATTTGTTTGTAGTGGATCCTGTGAATTAAGGAAATGTTTATAGTGCTATCTCATTACACCCGAGGACCCTCTAAAGATGGAAATGGTTGAAGAGACAGACATTATTGTGCAGGAGTAAATGTTAGAACCTACAGATATAAAAGACCAATGTGTCATATACACAACCTCCTACCTGTTGACAATTTTGGGGATCAGTGTCCCCACGGCCCGGTGTCTGACCAGGCCTCCTGGTTGCTGGTTTGATCAACCAGGCTGTTCGATGTGGCTGCTTGAAGCCTGACATACGAGTCGCAGCCTGGTTGATCACCTCTGAGGCCATATAAAAAAAAATGTGTATGCCAACTTGTTCAGATCTGCTGTAAACAATTTGATTCTTAATACAGTACAGAGGAAAATGCTCCTATATGCTGACAAAGTTGGTTTAATTATGATAATATACTTATAATACTATTTTAAGCATTAATAAAAATGCATACATCTAGTCAAATATATAAATACAATAATTGTGCCAATAGAATTACTGTACTGTACACAATAAATAGCATGGTTGAAGTGATGACTGCATGTCATACAATGCACTGTTGAAGTGGTGAGTGATCACATCTTAAAATTACTGAACTCACTTCAGCAGCATCAATAAACCTAATCTCCATCAATATTTTATGCTGACTAGTAAACTAACCTGGAATTTGTTAAGAACTATATTACAGGTTAGGTCAAGTATCAAGTTTTGTTCTTGGTGTTTGGCATTTAGATATTAGGTGTTGTACTAAGGGTGTTTGGCTAGCTATCATATTAGTTGTATGGCTGGCTATCATATTAGGTGTATGGCTGGCTATCATATTAGGTTTATGGCTGGCTATCTATTAGGTGTATGGCTAGCTATCATATTAGGTTTATGGCTGGCTATCATATTAGGTGTATGGCTGGCTATCATATTAGGTTTATGGCTGGCTATCATATTAGGTGTATGGCTGGCTATCATATTAGGTGTTTGGCTAGCTATCATATTAGTTGTATGGCTGGCTATCATATTAGGTGTATGGCTGGCTATCATATTAGGTGCATGGCTGGCTATCATATTAGGTTTATGGCTGGCTATCATATTAGGTGTATGGCTGGCTATCATATTAGGTGTATGGCTGGCTATCATATTAGGTGCATGGCTGGCTATCATATTAGGTGTATGGCTGGCTATCATATTAGGTGTATGGCTGGCTATCATATTAGGTGTATGGCTGGCTATCATATTAGGTGTATGGCTGGCTATCATATTAGGTTTATGGCTGGCTATCATATTAGGTGTATGGCTGGCTATCATATTAGGTGTATGGCTGGCTATCATATTAGGTTTATGGCTGGCTATCATATTAGGTGTATGGCTGGCTATCATATTAGGTGTATGGCTGGCTATCATATTAGGTGTATGGCTGGCTATCATATTAGGTGTATGGCTGGCTATCATATTAGGTGTATGGCTGGCTATCATATTAGGTGTATAGCTGGCTATCATATTAGGTGTATGGCTGGCTATCTCACAGATGCAGGATTTATGAGCATGTATGAGGAGCCTTTGCCACTTATTCCACATTACTTCATGAATGCTTCAATACTAATCTTTTTACCCGACCTTGAGCTGGCGCTGCTACTTTAGACTTGAGCTGCTGTTCCTTCTCACGGCTAGCTCGTAGCTCCTCCTCAAACCTGGCCTGCAGTTGGATAGCCAGCATCAAGTCTATTTCACTCATTTTGTCCAAGTGGTCCACACAAAGATGTACTATAGCTGTGGCAGGAGAAGAGACCTGCTTTGAATACCTGTATATCTGCAAGGAATGAATTCATATCCATAGTTAAGGCAACTGAAAAATCATATCCAGATTGGATCTTTATCACATAATTTTTATCAAATATAACTCTAAAGTTTCATTAGACAAACTAAAAACAATACATACAAAGGGCTTTACATGTACTCCTCAGTTTTTTCCATATTTTGTGTGTGTACTATATTGTACAATTTGTACAATACCAAGATTTTATAAATAATATTCTTTTGATTATTTAATGAACTACAAATCTGCTCAAGCAGACCAATTTGCTAGATCACATCCATTCAACCAGAAAATCAGCGTCGGTGGAAGATTTACAATAATTTTAATCATCACTACTTTATGGCATGTCTTGCCACATTCATTAATTCAATAGTTTTAAAATGTTAAAAAATCCACTACTTAGAAAAAAGGTCCTGGAGGTCCTGACAAGATTAAATTGCATCCAGCTCATCTGGATATCCACCTACTCAATTGACATTACACTGTACAGTATGTATATGGGTTGGAAATATAATTGATCAAGGATTTGTTAACACTGATTGAACATTTAATCTTATCTTGATCAACAGTGAGTTTTATTAGGATGTGATGTTATAATTAATGCTTGTATCATAGGGCTGGATGTTAGGTATGATGAGCAATTTTGCTAACTTATGATTGAATTTGTTCCTTTTCCTCGACATATTCTTGATGCAACCAACCGGAGAGGTTACTGTATATTTTTTTACTTTTTTGTACATACTTTAAATGTAAAGTTCTCATAGGCCATTGCTCTCTGCGCCTCTCTGAGGGGACCAGGTTCTGGCTCGTGGTTTCTGGTAAGCATAAGAACTCCTGTGACTGATGACTACAAACTAATATAGCACACATCAGTTCGGATAGCTTCAGGGAGCCGACGGGGCTCCTCCTAGAAAATCATAATGTAAACATCTATACTGTATTATTTTCCTGATGATTCTCTTAAGGAACATGTGCACCTAAAGATCAACAATTCTGGTCAGTGATTTTTCTCAAATTTTTAGCTTGTGAATATATACTGTAACATATATCAATGATAATGATACTGAAGGCTTACAAAGAGATCTACATGAACTCCACAAATAGTTAGAGGACTGGCAAATGCTTTTTAATATAGACAAATACAAGATCCTGCATGTGAGGCATAGCAACCCATGCCACCACTACCAAATTAATATCATTACATTACAGCAAATTGAAGAAAAGGACCTTGGAGTCAGAATTCACCACTCCATAAAAGTTGCACAACAGGTGGGTGCAGCAGTCAAAAAAGCTAACCAAACTCTTGGGATAATCAAGCATACTTTTGACTATAAGGAAAAGAAGGTAATGGTTCAACAGTATAAATCTCTGTATAACCCAACACTCAGCCTAGCCTGTGGCACAGCACCCAACACCCAGCCTGGCCTGCAGCACAGCATCCAACACCCAGCCTGGCCTGTGGCACAGCATCCAACACCCAGTCTAGCCTGCAGCACAGCACCCAACACCCAGCCTAGCCTGCAGCACAGCACCCAACACCCAGCCTGGCCTGCAGCACAGCACCCAACACCCAGCCTGGCCTGCAGCACAGCACCCAACACCCAGCCTAGCCTGTGGCACAGCACCCAACACCCAGCCTGGCCTGCAGCACATCATCCAACACCCAGCCTAGCCTGCAGCACAGCACCCAACACCCAGTCTAGCCTGCAGCACAGCACCCAACACCCAACCTGGCCTGCAGCACATCATCCAACACCCAGCCTAGCCTGCAGCACAGCACCCAACACCCAGTCTAGCCTGCAGCACAGCACCCAACACCCAGTCTAGCCTGCAGCACAGCACCCAACACCCAGTCTAGCCTGCAGCACAGCACCCAACACCCAGCCTGGCCTGCAGCACAGCACCCAACACCCAGCCTAGCCTGTGGCACAACACCCAGCCTAGCCTGTGGCACAGCACCCAACACCCAGCCTGGCCTGCAGCACATCATCCAACACCCAGCCTAGCCTGCAGCACAGCACCCAACACCCAGTCTAACCTGCAGCACAGCACCCAACACCCAGTCTAGCCTGCAGCACAGCACCCAACACCCAGTCTAGCCTGCAGCACAGCACCCAACACCCAGCCTAGCCTGCAGCACAGCACCCAACACCCAGCCTGGCCTGCAGCACAGCACCCAACACCCAGCCTGGCCTGCAGCACAGCACCCAACACCCAGCCTAGCCTTTGGCACAGCACCCAACACCCAGCCTAGCCTTTGGCACAGCACCCAACACCCAGCCTAGCCTGTGGCACAGCACCCAACACCCAGCCTGGCCTGAAGCACATCATCCAACACCCAGCCTAGCCTGCAGCACAGCACCCAACACCCAGCCTAGCCTGTGGCACAGCACCCAACACCCAGCCTGGCCTGCAGCACAGCACCCAACACCCAGCCTAGCCTGCAGCACAGCACCCAACACCCAGCCTAGCCTTTGGCACAGCACCCAACACCCAGCCTAGCCTTTGGCACAGCACCCAACACCCAGCCTAGCCTGTGGCACAGCACCCAACACCCAGCCTGGCCTGTGGCACAGCACCCAACACCCAGCCTAGCCTGTGGCACAGCACCCAACACCCAGCCTAGCCTGTGGCACAGCACCCAACACCCAGCCTAGCCTGTGGCACAGCACCCAACACCCAGCCTAGCCTGTGGCACAGCACCCAACACCCAGCCTAGCCTGTGGCACAGCACCCAACACCCAGCCTAGCCTGTGGCACAGCACCCAACACCCAGCCTAGCCTGCAGCACAGCACCCAACACCCAGCCTAGCCTGTGGCACAGCACCCAACACCCAGCCTAGCCTGTGGCACAGCACCCAACACCCAGCCTAGCCTGTGGCACAGCACCCAACACCCAGCCTAGCCTGTGGCACAGCACCCAACACCCAGCCTAGCCTGTGGCACAGCACCCAACACCCAGCCTGGCCTGTGGCACAGCACCCAGCCTAGCCTGTGGCACAGCACCCAACACCCAGCGTAGCCTGCAGCACAGCACCCAACACCCAGCCTAGCCTGTGGCACAGCACCCAACACCCAGCGTAGCCTGTGGCACAGCACCCAACACCCAGCCTAGCCTGTGGCACAGCACCCAACACCCAGCCTAGCCTGTGGCACAGCACCCAACACCCAGCCTAGCCTGTGGCACAGCACCCAACACCCAGCCTAGTCTGCAGCACAGCATCCTGCCAGGTCAGCAGTCTCTAGTAACATGCACTGAACAGATCTGGACCAAACCCTTGACAAGGTCCAACTTGACCTCACTTGAAACTTTCACACACACAAAGCACGTTAACCTCCAGCACCTGACACTACACTGGGCATAAGATGATACTTACACAGACAAGGTCAAGCAATGTGAAGAGTGCTGGTGTAGAGGACGCAGCACAGGGGGCCCGTGAGGCAGCATAGAGGCCCGAGAGGCAGAACAGGGGCCCGAGAGGAACAACTTAGGTCTTGGACATGTAGTGGTCGTGTCAGCTGATTTTTGCCTAACTTGAGACGCGCCCAACTTGAGATTTCACGCCTTTAAAAAAACAATTTTGCCAAACTTCAAGGAATATTTGCCTTGTAGAATATATATATTCAAATTTGTTTGTATTCAATTATGATTTTTTTTGGTTTACATAGAAAATATCTAATTAGTGTTTATAAAACTTATTTCAATTACAACAAAAGTTAATATATTGTTTATATAATATTTTATAATATTATAAAAGTTAATATTATACAGTTATTGTCCTGAATATGATCAATATTGCAGCACCTATCGGCCTGATTATTATATATAACTAATGTTAAATTATCTTTTATTGAAGAGCATATCTCGGCCGGAGGACCCAGCTGATGCGCAAACAAACCTGACATGTTTTCCTATGATGAACAACACCCAAGATTATTACCATCACTGGAGTGACCTCACTCGTCCTAAATGTCCCCCAACCATCATTAATCAAGTCATAATAGAGAGCCTGGGGGAGCTGTGATCCACAGGTACCTCGTGTCGCAGAGGTTAGAAAGGGTGGCTGACTAGAGCGCCAACTGTCCTGGGAGAAAATCAATCCGCCGATAATATTTTGGTGTGTAATCGTTAGTATCTGAAGGAGGACGGCGGCGCCAAGACCACCATACATTAATATTTGTAAGTTACTCTCCTGCTCTCTCTCTCTCTCTCTCATATTCCACCTCCAACTGCCCCATTTTTAATATATATTTAACTCAACTTAACGTTTTGGTTTACAGGAGGAATATGTGTGTAAGCAAGAGGTTTTCAGCAAAGAGACTCCATGTGGGATTTTTGTAAGTTGTATAAATGGAAGGTATTTTATACTAATTGGAAGTGGTGAGGAAGGTTAGTGAGGGGCAGAGTGTTGTGTTGAGGGGTAACTGGTGTTGCTCCAGGCTGACCTGACCACTGACATGCCTCCACACAACAGAAATAATAAGTGATAGAGCTTCGTACAGTTGGTTAATACATACTAAGAATAAGGAGGAACCAGACTAGGATAGTGGCTCTACTTAAATGACACATTAGTACTTTTTCCTCATAATTACTTTGCCTTGAATATGACAACTGCTTCTTGCAGCATTTAGACGTAATGTACTTTAAAGTTGCGATGAACCCATTTAAGTTGGTTATTCCTAATAAAAAAACAAGTAATAAAAAAAAAATATTCAGGTAAAAGTACATACATACAAGATGAGTTGACCAGACCACACACTAGAAAGTGAAGGGACGACGACGTTTCGGTTCGTCCTGGACCATTTTGAAGTCGATTGTGTAAGATGAGTTACAAACAGAATGTTGGATTTCTAGATTGAGCTAGTACATACTATGCCCAAAGCCACTAATACACACATACATACAGTGTTTCGGGTAAAATATGGGAAAAAAATTAGATTAAATCTTAAAACTAATTGAGATCAAAGCATGAATTGAATGATTTGTCTTCCCTCTAGGGAACAGGAGTCCTGTTTGCCTTATTGATGTCTCCCTAGCAAAGGGGAGAGGCTGTCTGTAGGTCACCTAACCAGTTACTAGCCAAAGTCAAAAGATTTTCCCTGACTGATATGACATGCCACACATTAGTGTTGAGATGGTCTATGGGTTATGGTGGCTGACCCATGTATGAGACAAGATAGGTACAAGTAACAGAGGTTAACCTTGAGCTGTAGGTTCTGGGGAGGTTGCCGAAGCAAGTGCCCGAAACGCTGCGCGTACTAGTGGCTTTACAAGATTGTAATTACCATATTATGTATCCTCACAATCCCAATATACCTTCTTGTATATGCATAAATAAATAAATAAAAGTCTAGGCTACTTGGGTAGACAAGGGGCTGAATGGAGATTGGCAAAGACTTAATGGTAAGCCAGAATATAGGTAGTCCAGAATCTAGTGGGTGGAATATCAAATACATGCTCATCTAGGTGCAGTTGTCTTCTCTCTGACTTGAGGCGAGGGCGGGAGAGCCGCACACAGTTGCCGCCCAGCAATTAGGACTCGCCTCCATCTAAAGTATAAAACACACACTCGGGTAGGCACTTTGAATATGGCTCCCTCCACATTAGTTAACAGATTGGAAGTGTGATTTCTTCCCTTCCCTTGTTTGTGCACTTCTATAAAAATTTCTCAATCTTTACATGTAAGTGATATTTTTGTGAATTTATGCATTACTACTACAATAGTTTCATGACACTACTGTATTGCCTAATCAAATAAGATCTAGCTAATTTGTCTGCAAAATTCTGACTTTCTGAAAGGAATGACTGATCCTGACACCATGCTAGTTTACAGGTTTTTGTCATTAGAACTTAACCAAACTCATATATGTAAGCTTCTAAGAATAAGTTTATTATTAGTTGAATAATGATTAACATTATTCTATTTGTTATTGTATTATTGAATATTTATATATATATCTCTTGTGCAAGAATAGATTAGCAGTGATGTTAATGTTTAACAGATCAGATTTATGACAGAGTACCATAACAAATCACATTCAGAAATTCTATTCTATTCTACTGGGACTACAATATTCACTGCACTTAGGTTGTGAGACTATAAATACTGTATATAAAAGTCTGCTGATATTAATGTATACAATAGTGTTAAACAATTGTGAATTCTGCCACAGTCAGTGTGTGTCCATGTATAAAGATGCTGAAGGTGGTAACTAATTCTTTGTCTATCAACAGAGCATAACCTGTGAGCGATGTATGCCCTCTACATCCACTTTTGTTATCCCCAGAGCATGAGAAAGAAGCCATGAGTGGGGACACCGTGGAGGAGCCGCTGGCACTCCGTCACAATCTGGTATGACCTGTGATAATCTTCTACTTTGTATTATTGATTTTAAATCCTACCAGAGTGGAAAGACAGAAAATTGGATGATTGAAAAAAAATGTTTTTGCCTTTAATTTATAATACTGTACTTAATAATAAAATAAAATAGAATACAGCATATTTTTAATATTTATTGTCTGATAATATTTTATTTAATTAATCATAGCTTTTTGAACTGTTACTATATACATTTTATATATAATTGCATTCATACATTTTCCTTTATAGGTGGACGAAGCTGCCAAGTTTTTGCTGAATCCCAATGTCATGAACCATGCATATGACCAAAAAACTGCCTTTCTGCACAAGAAAGGGCTAACAGAAGCCGAGATCCAGGCAGCATTTTCTAAAGCGAAGACGGTTGCCCCTGCGGTATGTGAGAAATTATGTTGTTAATGACTAAGATTTATTAATGACTCGAGTTTTGTTATTTACCCGAGACTCGATGTGAATGAGGGAAAATCATAACTAACATAACGTGAATATAAACTTAATTACTGTACTATAAAATTAGTTTGTAATAGTTGAAACATGCTTTGGAATGTTACAACTCTTAAACAGTTCAGTTACTGTAATATAAAAATTATTGCATGTTATACATATTACAGGGTGCTGCAGGAAGTAGTGTGGTGCCTCATCCTGGCTTATATCCTTGGCCCCCTGGTCCTGCCTACACGGCTCCAGCCCCTCCATCTGTCTGGATTAAGATTCGAGATGTTTGCAACTTAGTATTTCTCTTGATGGGAACTTCATATGGTGCATACCATATATATAAAGTAAGAAATCTCGGTGGAAAGTATATAATTATTTTGGTGTATTTATGTATTGCAGAAAAAAATTACCAATAAGGTGATGCTTTAAGTTCATACAATACTATATACCTGTAGTGTAAAAACAATATCCTTTAAATTATAATATATTTTGGAAAATCTTTCATTAGTTTTGTGGTTGATAAAACTACTGTTTCTGAGTACTGTACTGTTGTCGTACATTTTCTGCATTAGTGGTCTAAATGTTTGATGGCTACAAAGGTGCCCTGAGCTGTGCGAGCCAAGATGTCAAGAGTAATTTACATTGTCGACAATGGGGAGGGATTTTACTGTATCTCAAAATGACCACACCCCTTTCTATTTGAGATTGTACATTATCAAAATATAAAGCACATATTTAGCACCACAAGATAATATATAATTCAATAACACCCTTTGTATCATAATGTGCTCTTTTGAGATTGAGATTCTATGATAGGGATTGTTGTAATCTTTCTTTGAGCAACAAAATCTACTTTTGACTGCAGTAAAGATTTGTTTTGCATCAGTTTCTAAGATATGATAAATTTTTGGTGCTACAATTGTTAAATGTGGTTGTGTATGACTTTTAAGGTTTTCTTTTACTAAAAGTTGGGTAACAAATGTGGACAATAAACCTGTGTCTTACCTAGTAAAATTGGAAGAGATCGCAGATTAAATACTGGTATGTTTATTTTATGAAGGATCACTGTGGTCCTTTCCTTGTTGTGCTTCTGGCAAGGATCATTGTTCTTTGCCAGATATTCATGCTCTAAATGGAATATTTTGTCAGATTCGTCACATGAAATTTGTTCATGCTCTTACTGTTGTGACGTGACTTAGTAGTGTGGCTATACCGGGTAGAGGGAATGTGGCACGCATACATTTAACAAAAAAAAAATGCCACATTGGCCTTTGCAGTGTGAAAATTGCACAGGAGTGAAGAATACTCGAGCAAAAAATTATGACAATTTACTCTTAATGTCAAAATGAACAAATAACATGAAAAATATACAACACCCCTGATTTGACATGCTAGCTAGCACACAAGAGAAATAATAATCACACAAATACAAATACAAACTTACGTTAACACAAAAATAAGGGCGACACTGAAAGTATTTGCATGAACAGTTACAACCTGGATGCGAAGCAGCTGTAGGCAAGCTTCGCATTGTGGCAGAAATGTTCCTTTCCTGAGCACCTGAGACTGCTGAGGTGACCATGGTCATAGGTATTTATGCCCCTGTTGGTGACGTTACATCCTTTGTCACTGAGGCTTGGAATGAGGAGCTGGCAGTGTAACAGGCAGTTACCTAGACGTAGCAAGGAACCGGCAGATCTTGCAGCTGCCACCTGTCTGGGGCTCTCGGGCTTTTGTGGAGGGTGTGCTGGTGGGTGAATGTCTGGGTTGAACTTCATACCGGTTGTAATACCCAGTATGCAGAGTGATGACTAACGAAGGTAAGGTAGAAAAGGCAGGTTCCTCTGCTATGCTGAGGAATTATGTGACACTGAAAAATGAACCTTTTTAACCCCTCAATCCTTTAGTTTATGAAAAATCAATATTGCCTGCATAATACACACAATTTAATACACAAATAAATATAGTTTTACTGGGTACCAAGTCATTTTGGTATCACCTTCAATGAATTGACTGATGATCTGTCACTCAGACATGCACTCTGCACTGGAAGCCTATTTTTTCAAAAATTACTAAGTAATACATTCAACCATAATTACATGGTGGAAAGTGAATTGGATATCTTTATCAAATAAAATGTTCTAGTCATCAAACACAATGTTTTCTGTGTATTGGTCATGCTAGGTTAACTCTTGGCATTTGATGGAAAGAAAATCTGTCCCTTAATTCCTAAATTGTTATTTGTTCCACTTTGTATCACACCTCATTGATTGCTCAGTTTGTCAAGATGACCGTAAATGTTGTTTCCCATCAAATCCCTTAAATCAACTGTTCGTAGGAAGACTCCTTTCTAAATTGAATCTCTTTGATATATCCCTGCTAATACAGTGGTACCTCGAATAACGATCGCCTCAAATGGCGAACATTTTGGGTAACGACTGGCCCGATCGCCGACAGTTTGTCTCGTATGGTGACTGCTCATTTGAATAACAACAACACCACATGATGGGGTCGCGCTGCTTCTTGCACATTCTCGGACGCCACCGACGATGCAAATAAATCATGCTCCACCTGCCGAACACCGGCAGGTGTTTTGCTATAAGACAAATGAAAAGACAATATTGAACAAATTTGAAGAAAGAAAAAAGTCATAAAGGTTTGTTCAGTGTATGTAAGGTAGGCTGCTCCATTATTTAAAACATTGAATATTATATTGATGTTTTTCGGTGGTAGAATGGATTAATTTGATTCCTATTATTGTCAATGGGGACATTCGTATTGTATGACGTCCGTTTCACATGACGATCACGGCACCGGAACGGATTAAATTCCTTATTTGAGGTTCCACTGTATCTTGTTGCACTAGTGTTGGCATGTTGAATAGTATATACTGTAAATACTGAGCATATACTGTGATTTTAAATGAGGCTTTTAAGGTTCATTCATCCTTGCTTAGTGCCTACTACAAATAATTACTGTATTTACTTTTGTAGAAATACCTGGGTCCATGGCTGACAGGACGTCGTCAGAAGACGGTGGAAGAGAGCATGATTGAGCTTCAGCAGTCAGTAGTAACTGTGTTAAAGGAGGTTCAGACCACTTTGACATCACTAGAACAGACACTAGTTACCCAGAATCTCCGCATCCAGGTGTGTTTTACACATTGATTAAGTTGTGAAATTTGTCAAGTGAAGCATAGAATTTTTTCAGCATTTTTAAGTATAAAATAAAGACATCTATTTTATGCAGTTATTGCTTCTGTAAAAACTGTACATGTCATCTTTCATGTAGCATTGGAAAGGTTGTTACACCTTAAAAAGTATCTGTGCTACATATTATACTTCCATTCACATACAACAAAGTAAGGCTGCTTTCTCTTTTGCAAATGTGCACTTTTCTGAGGGGAATCCCTACGGCTCCCCAGAGTTGCCGGGAAGCTTCTGGGTCTCACCCAAAAAATGGCGTTTCATGACATTCAACACTGGTTTTTTATTTTCTAATATTCAAAGTCCTCTTCTTTGCTGTCAGGTATGGCCAGTGAGATTCATTATGTGCCATAGAATGTTATTAAATATATATAATCCTTATTGATTTCAGTCCCTTGGTATTCAGGAAGAAAGTCGAGGTAATGTCACACCCAAGCAGCTGGATCAACTGAAGGGAGAAATAGCCTCCCTTAAGGGTCTCCTCATCAATCGGTAAGCTTAACGAGGCTTTTTTTTTGTACTACAGTACTGTATATCTCGGAAACAAAAATGTCTATACAGTATTATTTTTAGAGATTATTGTTTTTTAAGCAAATACTTGATAAGTTTTGCTCATTATTAAAATTTCATTGTAGTCTAACAATCAAAATATAAATAACTTCATTCTCCTAAAACAAGTTTCTTTCACTGCCAGACGGACATTTCCATCCACCCCAGGCATGGCACCATCCATTCCCTCCTGGCAGCGGAGCAAGGCAGTGGAGAAACCTGTGGAAACCTCTCCTAGCACGTCTGTCTCTTTGTCCAACCAGGTGATGCATCGAGTTGCTACAGGCTACACTAATGTTTCTTCTAACACAAGGAGTCTTTGAGTTATATCTGCACTGTATAATCTTCCCTGACAAACAAGGGAGGTTATAATGATCATCAAACCACATGTCAGAAAAGTGGAGAAACGACGATGTTTAAGTCCGTCCTGGACCGTTATCAATTATGGTACACAGCTTGATAATGGTCTAGGATGGACCAAAATATCATCGATTCTCCACTTTCTAATGTGTGGCTTGGTCATCATATCTTCAGCTATGTTATTGTGACTCATTGTATAATGAGAATCTATCATTTTTAAATAACTTCTTTATATAATGTATACAGTACCTGTAGAGTCTTTCTTAAGTGAAGAAGAAATTCTGCATGGGGTAGTTTAGCTGCATCACAGTACGTGTTTAGGTAAATGGACTTTTTTTTTTTTTAATATTTCCTGCATATCACATAAGTATTGTTGTTAGGCACCTGGGCACACCTGCATTTTTCTCAGTGGCTTTAAAATGAAATTTGGCCTAAAACTAATTATATATTGGCTAAACCACAGGTTGAAGTGATGGATGAGAGAGATACATCAACAGAAAGTCAAGAGGACCCAAGTGAGACAACAATTGGTAAGCAAATTCAGTTTTGTTTTTTCCCTGTTTATGCTGTGCTATAAAATTATTATTAGTAATTGTAACACAAGTTGTTTAAGAACTCCTATCCACTTGCATACAGGGCTGGGATAATTCATACAAATACTGTACTAATACTATATCGGTACAGTATAAACTAAGATATGCCAACATACAGTAACAGAGAAGGGAATATGTAATATATAAATAAGGGTACCACCTCTGGTTGTTTGTAGGGACCCTAAAGCCTTGAAGAAGAGGATATGCAGCATGTGGGGGAGCCTTGTCAGGCTTCCACGTACGCTGGCACATATTGTCTTCTCCTATTACCCCCTTATATATATATATAAGTGTTTATTTTATTTAAAATTTATTAAAAAAAAAAAAGAGTTACATATAAAGTACAAAGTTGATTATCATAAGTTGTCAAAGTCCTCCAGCTCCTCAGATGGCAGGCAGAAACCCTGAATGCAATGTGCATTTACCCCTCTGTATTGCCACGCTGAGGCGCTGGAAGCTCTAGGGTCTTTTGTTATTTCAATTAGCCTAGAACCCAGTTCCTTAAAAAAAACAGGTGGCACTCTTACCCCAGGTGCCAAGTGTTTCGGAAGCAATGGGGACAAAATTGTAATGGTGATCCAGTTCTCTGTACTTACGGGACTTGGATGATTTCCTGTGTGTAGCAGCGCCACCTGCATGTTCAACACTGAAATCAATGTAGGTGTTAGCCAGGGTTGATAATACACACGTGTAGTCCCACACCAACTGCTTGCCATTTTTCCAGGGGTTCATTGTGATACCATCTGGGCGACCAATAAGAGCAGCAGAGTTACGGGGTGTTAGGTAACAGGGCACTTTCTCTCTTAGCTGGGCATCCAGCTGTAGTGAGGCTCCTCTTGATGATGTTGACTTCACTGTGCTTTGGCAGAGTAGGCCATGGTGGCTGTTCCTGTCAGCCACCACCTCGCCACAAATACACCTATATTTGGTGTGGATTGAGACAGCAATTCGGAGGGTGTGTGGTGTAAGATGTGTGCCAGTTTCCGACTTTGGGGTTGCTAACAGGAAGTCGCCTGCATGTGGAGCTGCTACTGCTGTGAGGTGAGCAGTATCGTGTTATGTTGTTGCAGCAGCTCGGTCTACAATGGGGCCATCCCAGCTGGATTGCTTTTGGGCTTTTGATGGTGGTGGTTGAAGTAATGGGCCTGCACGAGAGCACTCGGTGGCACAGTATATAAAAATGGGATCGTGTACGCCTGCAAGCTGACCTAAGTAGGCAGGTATAATTTCCTTCACAAGGTTGTCGGATGCCGAGGAGGAGGACAGGAAGGCTGGTACAGAGATTTGCGTTGCTATTCGAACTCCGAGGCCCCCAAGTCTGATGTAAAGAGAGGCTTGTTTCCACTGTAAGTCATCAAGAGAATGGTTGAGGGCTCTTTCTAACATCGATTTCAATAAGGTCATATTCACCTAGTTTTTGGCTACTGTAGGATGTTGAACACCTCAGAAAGTAGGTTTACCTGGGGAGGTAAAGTATGTCATGAGCATCAATATCTTCAATTCTCCCATCCATCCTTTTAAGGTCAGCAATTTTGTTATCAAGGACCTCATCAATGGCTTTCAACCCCAGGGGGGCTCCTGGGAGTGAGCTGTCTTTAGGTTTCGTTACATGGATATTTGGCAGAATATCCTCTATGATGCCCTGATTGGAACATATTATTTCACACTTAGAAGAATTCAGGGTGAGGGCTAAATTTGCACCTTACTCCTGGATTGTTCTGATGTCCTTCAGGAGGGAGTCTTGGGAACCAGCTAGGGTACCATAATCCAAGAAACAGAAGTTAAGCTTGCTGGACAGGACTTCCGTGACTTGTTTGATGACTAAGCAAAAAAGGAAAGGAGCAAGGGGGTCAATTTCATATTTGCTAAAAAAGTAGCTTTCACACACACACACACACACACACACACACACACACACACACACACACACACACACACACACACACACACACACACACACACACACACACACACACACACACACACACACACACACACACACACACACACACACACACACACACACACACACACATACACACACACAGCACACATATATACATACATACATATAAATGTGTATACAGTATACAGTATATGTATTTGAAGATTTGATAATGGTGCATAGTATTTTAAAATAAAGTGTGATCGAGTGAAAATATATTAGTAATGTTTTAAAGAGTACACAAAGTACTGCTCAAGGTAAGTTAGCATTACAGATGGATTAACATTTGAGTTTGGGATTTGAGGGGTTAGGCATGTTGTGTTGTGGAGGAGTGCCTGTTACATGCAGATAAGTACTGTATAGTGTAATATAAACATTACACATATTGTACAAACTTTCCAGGTGATTTTTTTTTTTTTATAAAATTGTGTTGTGTTTACATCAGATGCAGCGTATGTAGAGAAGGGAGCACAGAAGAGAGAACATATGGCTCATGTCCCAGAAGCGAATGGACATGATAAGAGTGAACTTTGTGGAGGCGACAGTGGCTCATTCCCTGACTCGTCTGATGAGATGTCCCAGTGAGCCAGTCAGATGTGCATTGCAGCATATAGTATACATGTTATTCAAGACATAGAGAATGTCTGATGACTTGTATGTTTTCACGTATGTATATATATATATATATGTCGTACCTAGTAGCCAGAACGCACTTCTCAGCCTACTATGCAAGGCCCGATTTGCCTAATAGGCCAAGTTTTCATGAATTAATTGTTTTTTGGCTACCTAACCTACCTAACCTAACCTAACCTAACTTTTTCGGGTACCTAACCTAACCTAACCTATAAAGATAGGTTAGGTTAGGTTAGGTCGGGTTGGTTAGGTTCGGTCATATATCTAAGTTAATTTTAACTCCAATAAAAAAAAATTGACATACATAATGAAATGGGTAGCTTTATCATTTCATAAGCAAAAAAATAGAGAAAATATATTAATTCTGGAAAACTTGGATTATTAGGCAAATCGGGCCTTGTATAGTAGGCCCAGAAGTGCGTTCTGGCTATTAGGTACGACATATATATATATATATATATATATATATATATATATATATATATATATATATATATATATATATATATATATATATATATATATAAATATATATATATATATATATATATATATATATATATATATATATATATATATATATATATATATATATATATATATATATAATAAAGTGTACATCATAATAAATAAATAAAAAAAAAAAAAGGGGGTGGTAGGAGAAGTGAACACTCTTTCGTATTCAGAGTTAAATGTCAAGTTTTTCCCTGAGTGCTCTGTGTTCCCTTCTCTGAGGCTGTGGGTCCCTATAAATGCACCAGTGGTGGTACCCCCCTATATATATATAATATATATATATAATATATATATATAATATATAATATATATATATATATATATATATATATATATATATATATATATATATATATATATATATATATATATATATATATATATATATATATATATATATATATATATATATATATATATATATATATATATATATATATATATATATATATAATATAATATATATATATATATATATATATATATATATATATATATATATACAGTATATATACAGTATATATATATAGTATATATATACTGTGTATATATGTATTATATATATTATATTATATATATATTATATAATATATATATTATATATTTATTATATATTATATATAATATATATATATTATGTGTGTGTGTGTGTATAAAATATATATATGTAACTTACATATTTGGTTGGAGCATTTGGCACAGTATTAGTACAAATGTTTCAAATGGGTATTTTGGTATGTGAATACAGTGTCATGTATTAACAATGAGCATAAGAAACCAATGTCAATGTAACATACAGCAGAATACCAGTATGATGGTATATTTCACTGGTTATTTCCTTTCATACATAGGTTATATACAGCATGTGTACATTAGAGGTACGGTTTCCATTTAGGGCACTTGTTATATATATATATACAATACAGTGCTTTAGTTATTATGGCTAACACCTAAGAAGGAATTTGATGAGCACAATTAAGATCCAGTTTTATGGGTAGAATTAAATTTACAAACTAATTTGTTATCTTTTTATAGTAATTGCTAGAATTTGTTGAATATTCACTTATTATGAGAAAATATTGAGACCCGCATCCCTTGACTCCCAGGCACATGCACCACCATCTGAACCGTGACACGCTAGTCATGGTTGAGTCATTAGTGTGTGTGCACCTGAGGATTCATGATATGGTAGCTCGATCTCATTGGGCAGCTTCAATATATTCTCAATGATACATCACATTCTTGTGATTTCATTATGCATTCGTTCACTTGCTACACATCAGTAATGACAGTACAGTAGAGCTCTTCATAGGTTATTCAATTTACCATCCAGGGTGGTTAGCCTGAGGATCATACTGAAGACCACTTGTGGCTCTTTTTAAACTTCACAGCTAACAAGTAATGAGACCTGTGAATTGGAACATTTTAAATGTGGAATTAACATGGTCTATAATGATTTAGCAAAGTGAGCTAGTTTAAGCAGTTAAGAAGCTTGTGTAAATATTACATTTAATATACAAATAACAATCTATTTACAGTACAGTAATGTTATACTTATATTACAGTTTGAAATGGGTGTATTCCCCTGTTTTGCATAACAGCATAGCAACTTAATACCCCAATCAAACTATCTGCCAAGATATCTTGCTATATCCTTTATTATAATTGAACATCCAATATTGTCTCGTGGGATTCCGTAAACTCTTGCCATTGAAGTTTTATCAATCATTGCACAAGTAGGCACACCTTTGTTTTTCCAATACTGTAATTTTTCAGCTCTCACTACTGGGACCTTTGGCTACTTGTCATGAATCCAAATACAGTATTGGTTTTATACTCATAATTACTTCTATGTTGCACAAGTAAAAGTGTCACAATCCAAGACAAAAATTTCAGAATTTACTGAAAAATGCAATTAAAGTATGATAATGGCAGCTTGAGATGACTGACAGCGACTCGCTATTTTCTCATTGGTCAGGGGTTATGTTAATGTAAATGAGAATACTGTAAATTTATATATCATTAATTTGAATCAAATTGTTATTGTCCTAACAATTACACTTCAGTTACATTAACCTGATAAGGTGAGTGAAGAAAAAATAAACCAAGGATTTTCATGATTAATGTAAGCCACTTTTTATTCTAATTACTTAAGCAATGATTTTGCTGCCAAAAATATATGTATAAAAAGATCAATTTATTTCATCAGCAGTAAAATTTAAATAAATTTCAATGTATTTTATGTTCATTTATATAAAATCCTACACTGAAGAGACCAGGCTTGACAATTTAAGATGAACAAGACCATTGAGGCTGCTCTGATTCTGTTTTCAGGTGAACACAATCTCTTTGATCCCCTAGCTAAGGTAAGGATTCTGGTGTGTGTCAACTGCCCATGTGCATGTGGGTCTGCCTGTCCGCCCTGCGCCATTGCCATTCTCAGCACTTACCCAAGTCTGATGGTCGGCAGGGCTCATCCACCCAGTTCTTGTGTGTATGCCCCGGTAACTGTTTTTGTGGGGGAATGTCTGAGCCTCTTGTTCAAAGCCTGGTCCTGGGATGCCTGGGCTTTTCAAATGGTGTCTCAGGGTCTTTGGTAGATTTGGTCTTCCCTCCCCCCCCCCCCCCCCCCCCCCCAATTGTCTCAAGGACCTGGTCAGTAGTCTGCTCCTCTTCTCCAAAACATCATTCATAACTACTTTAACAAGGGAGTACCACTTTTTTTTCTTGTGCCAAAATGAGATTCTATACTGTACTATGGTACTATTTTACCTGTTCTCAATGGGTTCTTTCTTCCACATATTGGATGACCTTGTCCCTAGTGGTATCAAGTGATTTTTGGCTCATTTACCTGGATGTCTGGGACACCTGTTGACACAACTTGCTAGGGTTCAGAGTGAGGCACATCTCATAACCACACACATTTGAACTCTTCTGGCTCCCAGAACCTTTACCAGACTGGTATATGTGCTCCTCTGACATATTTATCTTTATGGAATCTGTATTTCGGGGTACAGTATCTCAATGATTGACTGGTTTGGGCCCCCAGTTGTCCAGCTTGTCTGTGTGCCAGTGCTCTGGTATTTTTCCAATTGTCTCACTTCAGCTCTGGTCAACTGGCAGAAGTCCTAGTTGGTGCCATCTCAGTTTGACTTGCCTGGGATACCAGGACAGCCTAGGCCCACTTTCTCTCCAACAGTCAGCTGTGTTTCTGTCTGCTGGTGTTGGTAAGGTCTCTACATTTCCATTGAGGACTTTAGCAGCTTTTTGGGAGCTTGAATTTCCTGCAAGATATACTCATTGCGCTGCGTCTGGCTGAATGCGCTTTACTGCTTTCTCAAGTGGTGTCCTTTCACCACTGATGGGACCACATGATGCAAGCAAGATCTGTTTCACCTGAAGTGGGTTCTGCATTGTCTTTTTTTCAGAGTTTTTTAATTTAATCTCAATGTGCCCTCAGTCCGTTTATCGAGCTATTCAAGGATGGATCACACCTCGGCGGCAACAATCAAAAAATTAAAATCGGCTGGTGCTTTTGTCTCCAGCTCTCACCACACCAGTCAGGGAAGGTGGTCTCCTTACCTGCAACAGTCAGGTCAGGGACAGAGGTATTCTTTTCCTTTAGGGAATTTCTCTAGTAGAGAATGGGACCATGCATGGAGGACAGGCAGGGAAGTGGATGAGGGAAGAGAACTGGGAGGGACACTCTTGGCTGCAAGTTGGATGGGCAGGAGAATGAGGTACATTAGCTGGTCTCTGGTGAGGACATGAAAATGGTTCTGAAGTAGGGGGACCAGGAGGATAGTGGATTAATGCTCCTGATGAGCAACATAAGTGTTTGTGATGACCATGAAAAAGGCCTGAGCACCATAATTAACATTTTACCTCAGAAAAGGGGATGCTGTCCTGCTTGGCTGCTTGGTATATAATAGTGTACCATTTTATAGTGAGCACAAAACCATAAAAGCAGGGTGACCATCACAATAGTCAATAGTCATGCAAGTAGACTTACCACCCACTTTGTGGCAAACCCAGCAATGTTTAAAAAATAGTGCACTTATGCAAGTTGAATCCTCATGGCCAAACTTCCAGCAAGTATTACACTAATACAGGGAGGGGTACATTTTTTGGACATCCGAGGTTGTAAAATATAACAAAATACTTTTAGCAACACGTAGGAGGCTAGAACGCTGCCTTATGGGGCATAAGGCAGAAAATATTCAAGATAGATATGCTCTATCTGCAAGATAGAGCATATCGACATGGTCTGGGCATTTTGAACTAATGAATGATTGGGTAGATTGGTGAAAAAGTTATTATTAAAGTTAATTTGAGAATAGGGGAGGAGAGGCATGCCAAGGAAATAAGTGAACATAGTGTACAGTATATGAAAAAGCAGGAACAGTGTGTGGGTAGTGCACAGGAGATAGTACGGGAAGATTTGGTTAAAATTGTTTGTATAGAGGGTGCGACTGTATTTGTTATGTTTATGACAATTGACAAGGAGCACTTGTGTTAGATTCAGCTACTGGAACAAAATTTCCATGTAGCACAGGCTGTGGTGAGCCCATAAGTGCTCACTTACGAGTAACCATTATCTGTATCAATAACCGATACTGGAGATGTGGGGA